GGGGCTTGGGGGGGGGGGCAGGCGGTTTGCTGCCCCCAGGACCCGGTCTCCCCTCCTCCGCTGGAGGTGGGCAGAGAGAATCCAGCAGGATCCCTGCTGCAGGGGCGCTACCATGCACTCCAGGCCCCCGCATGGGTGACACCGCGTAGCCTCCCGCAGGAGCCCTCCGGCCGGCCAAAGGGTGGCACCAAAGGGGAGACCAGGGGCCCTTGCCACAGCCTGCGTGGGCGGCTGGGTCCCGGGATCCCGGCCTTGCTGGGAGCCAGCTCCGGGCTGGCGTTCTTGGAATGCCTGGGAGGCAGGCGGGCAAACTCGCCTGCCCCCTTCTGCAGGCCTCTCGCCAGGCGCACGGGGCAGCCCCTGGACCCCAGAGTCAGCTGAATCCTAGAATAGATGGCTAGAGCCGGGAGGGACCTCGAGAGGGATCAAGCCCAGCCCCTGCCCCCACGGCAGGACCTCGCACCCTAGACCATCCCTGGCAGGTGTCTGTCTGCTCTTAAATATCTCCAGTGATGGAGACTCCCCATACAGCCGCCCAGGCAATTTAGTCCCGTGTTTAGCCACCGACAGGGCGTTTTTCCTTGTCACACCCTTTACTTGAAAGCTGCTGTCATGTCCCCTCTGTCTTCTCTTTTCCAGACTAAACAAGCCCGGTTCTTTCAGTCTCCCCTCACAGCTCATGTTCTCTGGGTCTTGCATCGTCCGTGTCGCTCTTCTCCGGACCCTCGCCAGTTTCTCCATCTTTCCTGCAATGCGGTGCCCAGAACTGGACACGGTACTCTGGCCGAGGCCTAACCAGCGCAGAGCAGAGCGGGAGCGGGACTCCTCGGGTCTTGCCCACGACACTCCTGTCAATGCCTCCCGGAATGGTGTTTGCTTTCTTTGCAACAGCGTCACGCTGCTGACTCATGTCGCTTGTGGTCCATTATGACCCCGATTTCCCTTTCTGCCGTGCTCCTTCCTAGACCGTCGCTTCCCGTTCTGTGTGTGAAATGGATTGTTCATCCCTAAGTGGCGCACTTTGCATTTGTCCTTATTGAACTTCATCCTGGTGCCCTCCAGCCGTGGCTCCGGTTTGAAGCAATTCTCTGCTCCGGAAGAGCCGTTCCATTGAAATCATCGTTCCGGCTGCTCCCCGCGCGCCTTGTCTGTGTGGGCTCGCTGCTGCCAGGTGTTAACGGCCTCTGCTCTGGGCTCCGTGTAGCGGCACTAGCCCCGCTCTGCCCCCATAGGCCAGGTGGGGTTGTCAGGTGTCCGGTTTTGGCCTGGAGAGTCCAGTATTTGCGGCCTCTGCCCAGTTTTTTAAAAAAGCAGAAAATACCAGACATGTATCTTCTGTTTTTCTTGGATGGAAGGCCACTTGGGGCGTTCTTCCCCTGCCGTGTCTCGTGGGGGTGGGGGAGAGCATGGACCGTGGGGATTTAAAGGTGCAGCGACTCTTTTTTTCTTCTTCTTCTTCTTTTTTCCTGCCCTGTTCGGTATTTTTTGTGAAAGTATCTGGCAACCCTAAGGCCAGGTAAAGCGTCCGGCAGTCCCAGCAGGGGCATTAGACTGCTCTGGCCAAACCCAGGGGCAAGAGACTAAAATGAAACCCAGCAGCAGTGCTGATGTGGCTGGGAGAGGTCCACAGGGCCTGCCAGAGGCGGAGGCCAGGCGGAGGCTGAAACGTAGCCTGGCCAGGGCAGGCCTCTGTAGTGGTATCGGCCTGGGCAGTTCTGCTGGGTGTGGGGGGCCTTCCCCTGCCTTTCTGTTGCTTTTTGTAAGTCCCTCTTCTGCCCAGCTGTGGTTCAAGCAGAGCCGGGGGCAGGGGTGTCTTGTGGGGGTCACAGGCTGGGCACTTACCCTTGTTACACATGGCTCTGAGCGCGCCGAGAGACCTTTGGGGGGAGAAGGGGCCCGGCTGGAACACTGGCCGTCTCTTTTGTCTTACACTGGTGCCGGTCATGGTCCCTGCCTGCCCCAACCGGCACATTGTTCTGATCCCGGGCGCGGGGTCCACGCAGTGTTCTGCCAGTGTGAGAAATGTGTTTAATGTAAACGGCCGTGTGAGGAGAGACCGGGCAGAGCCGGGTTTGAGCGTGAGATTACGAGCGTGGCAAACGTTACAAGCCTTGGCCTCCTAGGAACCGTATCGTGCTGCACGTTTCTCGCTCTCAAATCCAGCCTGCTGGAGCCAAGCCCCTGGAGCAGTATAACCTAGATCTCCCAGGACAGTGTGAGAAATGTGTTTAATGTAAACGGCCGTGTGAGGAGAGACCGGGCAGAGCCGGGTTTGAGCGTGAGATTACGAGCGTGGCAAACGTTACAAGCCTTGGCCTCCTAGGAACCGTATCGTGCTGCACGTTTCTCGCTCTCAAATCCAGCCTGCTGGAGCCAAGCCCCTGGAGCAGTATAACCTAGATCTCCCAGGAATGCAAAATGACGCGAATTCCTTCCCCGTGTGTGCGACTCTCACTAACAGAAGAGGAGCTAAGCTCGCGGTGGCCAGCTTCCTCCGTTTTCGTTGGCAAGGTGACTGGGCGCTACCTCTCCCCCCCTCCTTCCCCCCCAGTGTCCTGGAACCCGCTACCTCTCC